CGGGGGGAGAACACAGTGAGGGAGCTGTGGAGAGTCAGGCAAGCAGGGACTTGACAATGTGACTTCCGAGGGGCCCCAACTTACCTCCTGCCCACACCCCAAAGGAGGGTACATTTATTCCGCAATGGGGGGAAGGGTGTGCAGGCAGGAGAGGGGGGCGCCACGCTCTCACAGGAGTTACAAGTGGAGGGCCTGCGGGTCCACCCATCCCAGGCTCCAGCTCCCTCCCTGTGACCATTCTGACCAGCTCTAGGGCTCATAATTCATTCTAATTCCCTGCGAAGCCAAAGCCTTGACAGAGCTGGGACCAAAGCTCCCACCTGAGGACAGAATCCAAGGCTTTCCCCCAGGATGCTAATGAAGAATCTGTAATCTCTCATGGCAGGGAGCAGCCTCTGGGGAGACAGCGAGCACTCCCTCTCTGGAAAAGCCTGTGCGGCTCTAGCTGCCTGGCCTGGATCACTGTTTCAGTTCAGTGCTAGGCTCCGGAAGTCATCCTCCCAAGGAGAACATCAGCAGTAGGAACAAGGTTAACGGGTCCACAATAAGCAGGAAGGAGAAAGGGTGCCTGTCGATTTGCCAGGTGACAAAATATCCCTACAAGGCCCGCCAAGGCATAGGCCAGTGGGGGTGGCAGTGGGGAGGGGTGGCAGCAAAGAGCACTTTAGGCCTTTTTTTTGGAGGGGGGGGGCGGTGTGTGTGTCTGTCAAATCTCCAGACCTTCAGATGACAGAGCAGACAAATCTCTGAGCCGATCTCAGTGGCCCGCCCAGCACAGCGAGGGCCCTTCCCACCAGCAGTCCATACAACCAGCAGCTCTCCGAAGCGTTCACCACAGGATTTGAGCCCGAAGGCCAGAGCCTGGCAGCTTCAGTCATTTGAGAGGGTCAGTGGTCAAGAAGTTGAGCACAAGGCAAGCCCAGTCCTAACTCTGTGGCCCATCGGGATCGAAGAAATCTGAAATATCTGGGGTCATCAGGAATCAAACACCAGGTCAGCACAGGGGATGGGTCTGCTCTTCACATTCCTTAACCCCCGTGGGGTGCAGGCCAAGCTCCAGTTTGGAATGGGGTGCCCTGGAGACGGCGGTCTAACTCGTCTCGTCCTCCTGGGCACAATGGCGTGCCTGTTCCACGCTCACGGTGGCAGCACTCCCTTCTCTTCCTGGCAGGGTGGGTCTGCCTGAGGCTCTGGGCATCTCTCACCAGGCCTGGGACGCAGGCCCCCGTGCCGGCTCCTCCTGCAAGCAGCTCAGAAGCAGCAGAGCCAGCAGACACAGGTGGTGTTGGGGGGAATGCCTCCCCTCAGAGCGACCTTTGCCAATGACAGAAAGACAGGAAGGAGAGCTCCGTGGCTTCGTTCCCTGGGGTGACAACAAATGAGTCTTCCCACAGGAATCTAGTATGTCTGTCTTTGTCATTGCTATTTTTAAAGATTTTATTTTTAAGTAATCTTCACACCCAACATGGGGCTCAAACTCACAACCCTGAGATCAAGAGTCCCGTGCTCTACCCACTGAGCCAACCAGGTGCCCCTGGAATGTGTCTTTCTAATGGGAAGGGGTAGAGATGAGGATAAAGGGAAGGCGTCATCCTATGGAACAATCTGGTCCCTAGAACACCCAGGTAACCGCTGGCCTGTGCTCAAGGCAGAGACATGGCCTCCTAGCCCCCGGCTGACTTCCCTCTGCTCCAAAACCACAGGGAAAAGAAGAGCTCACGTTCCGGGCCCCATACCATGGTCACCAACGTGGCCACCAACAACTCAGGGCACTCTGAGAATGGGGACTTGTGGAGGTGAGCAATGTACCAAGACGGTAAAAAAAAATAACGAGAAAAAGAAAGAAAGAAGGGAAAAAAAGGATTTGTTTTCATAATTCTTGGCCCAGAAATGGGTCTCACTTTAACTCATCATGTGTGGTCCAGCTGGGAAAATGTTCCCCACACATGGCCTCAGGGGACTCTGGGTCCCCAGTGACCGCTCTAACCACCACCCCTGCGGTGGCCTGTAGCTGCTGCCACGTGCGGAGACGTGGGCCTCCCCGCACCCCCAACACCCGGAGGCCCTGAACTCTCTCCTCCCCACGAGCAGCGGCAACTGGTGGGCAGCCTCTGGGCCGTGTTCCACGCCTACAAACTGCCACGGCACCGCAGGCTCTGGGCCTGTCCGGTGTGATCTCCCACTTGGGTGCTGGCAGCGATCCGGTCAGCCCCTCTCAACCCCCCAGCAGGTCAACTCTCCCTTCAGAGGTGAGCAGAGGCTCACAGACATCTGCCACCTTCAAAGTGGACATCTGCCCAGGAAGGGAGGTCTTTCCAGGAGGTGCCATAAGGAGGTACACCTAGGGAGGGAGTCCCAGGTCTCATTATACCCAGGCAGCGTGACCTCCCTGAGGAGGGGTGACCACCCTGGCCAATCAAGGCCTCACAGAAGGGACATGCCTAACAATGACCACGCATCACTATATATGCAAACCGGCAAGACAGGCAGGAGGAGGAAAAGAAGCCAAAGACGAGACCTGGGCTCTTCCCAGGTCTTCTTCCCAGATATAGCCTTCTTCCCAGGGTTCTTTCCCCCTGAAAGGCCAGTACAAAGGCCACACGTCCGAATCGCTTCGTTCAGGAAGTCACAACTCAAACCCTTATGTATGAAAGAAATCAGAACCACTCTTGCTCTGATCCTTGGAGAATCCAAGAAGCTCCCGCACAAGCAGCCTTGAAAGACTGCTCTTTCCCAGCCTGCGGCACGGCCGGCCCCGTCCTGGCATCACACCTCAGCTCCAAGGTCACATCCCGACCACTCCACTTAAAGCAGCGGGTCACTCCCCATCCCGCCACCCATCGTGGCACCTGTTCCCACGTGGTGTCTTCCCACAGTGGACACTCCAGAAGGCGGGGACGCGGTCTGTCGTGTTCAGTACTTGGTGGGCACCTTCAGTGCAGCTCGAGTACATGAAGATTTCGGACTTTGGAGTTGGATGAGGATGGCTTTACATCCCAGGTCCACCACGCACTAGCTGTGTGAGCTTGGGCAAGCTACTTGGGCTCTCTGAATCTGTCCCCTCCCCTGCAGGACGGGGACAATCCTGGCACACGGGCTGTGCGGGAGACGGCACGAGGTAAGCAGAGCCGCGTGCTGACAAAGGCTGGGGACCGCCAGGTCACTGCCCATTCGTTGTCAAGCCTACCAGCGCAACACGAGGCAGACTCCACCCGGGAGCTCCCGTGTGGGAGCCGGACGAGCTTCCTGCAAATGGCTGGGGGAAGGTGGCAGTAAAACCCACCACAAGCCAACGACGGGACAGCGAGGCATCCACGTCAGCCTCCCTGCACAAGCAGCTGGTCTCCGACAGCACAGTTCAACACCGCGACTTACTGCACCTGGGAAGGTCGGTAACTTGTGGAAACTTGAGGCGAACACGGGCCCAAATCCTAGCTCTTCACCTCCGCGTCCTACGGCGAGTCATTTGGCATCAGGAGCCCGCGGTCCCCTCATCTGTAAGGAAGAGGCAATCCTCCTCCCCGAGGCTTCTGCAGGGATGAGAGGTAACGTACGGACACTCCCAGCATGTGACCGATACCCAAGCTAAAGCCAAACCACACGGCGATGCATTCAGGGCCGACAGAAATGTGGAGGGGCCAGGGCCATTTGATCTTGCTTCCTTAGAGCTGGGCTTCTGTATTTCACTCATCTGCTTCGGCGTCATGGGGTTTTCTGCCCGAACGTCAGGCTGAGAAGTGTCACTTTTCCCCCCGAACCAGCTGCTAAAAGAAATTCTTCGTGAAATGCGTTCTACCAAATCTGCTATGAGCTGGAAGGCCGTTCCAACTGTCTGCAAAACAGAGTCCAGAAGCCCCACACCACGGCTGCTGCCACCAGCTCCCGGACAAAGCGGCTCCGATGCTTTGCTTCTTCTTCCATTTCCACCTTCTTGCCTAGATCCTAGGTCCGGGTGGGCAAATGACAGACCCAGGGCCAAATCCCACCCACCTCAAGGCTCGAGAGGTGGTTTTTACATTTCTCGGGGGGGGTGGGGGTGGGTTACGTTTTTAGAAGGGAACACACGTAAAATAACAGAACACTGAGAGTAAATGACAGAGACTTCTATGACCTATGAAGCCTAAACTGCTAGCTTGCTGTCTGGCCCTGCACAGAAGCGTCTCTGGACCCCTCTCTGAAGTGACCGGGTTTGTGCAGTGGTAGTACTGGGTCTTTTACAGCTGTGCTCTATTTTCAGGGCAAAACTCACGTTACCATGAGATTCTACTGGTTCAGGAAAAACTGCTTAAGGGACTAACCTTCTCCAGAGCCCTTCCTTGTAAGGTGGGTGAATAATGGCCGCTCTTTTTGGTGGTATGGTGGGCGGCAGACCCAGATGGAAGCAGAAAAGAGAGGTGGGGATCTAAGCAGACCCAGCAAAAGCCTTTCCAAAACAGGGGCTAAAGGCCCAAAGACCTCAGGAGTCAGCGACACGGAGGCTAAGAGAGGGCAAGGGCCCGATGGAGGCAGGTACGACCGGTCGGAGTTATGCAGGGTGGTAACAACAGGGGGGGCTTCTGGAGACAGACAGGCCTCACTGATTCCTGGCTCTGCCCCTTGCCTCAATCTTTTGAGCCTTCATTTCTTCGTCTGAGCAATGGGGACGAAAATAGCTATGGGTTTGTGAGGATCTGAGACAACACACAGAATGTGTGCGGCACTGGGTCTGATACACAGCGGGGTGCTGGCCCGGGGGTACCTGCTATTATCAGAAGCACGACATGGGGCTGCACAGGCAGGTCTGTGCATGGTAGCGCTCCACCACCGAGGCCCCTCATAACTGCCCCGGTCACCAGGCCGGTGCCCATCATCCTGCCGTCAGCGCTCAGTTTTAATTCGTTATTCGTTAGGTGAGCCAGGCAACAGGTTCGAGGAAGGCTGCTTGGCCTGCACACACTCTCCTTTGTGATTTACTTATCAAGGTTGCGGGAGCCGAAGTGGGAAGGGAGGAAGTCACTCACAGGTCTCGATACTGGTCAAAGGCATTGTTGGCTTCCACCTCCAGCTTTCTCAGCCGAGCAGAAGGCATGGCCCCGTCTTCCAAAGGAGGGTCGTACTTGTTACTCCATGGTGACCTGGAGGGGAGGAAGGAAAAGGAAATAACACCAGTCATTCCAGGAGACATGGCTCGTGAGCCATGAGCCCCGGCGGTCCGACATTTCAGAGGAAAAGCCACTACCCATAGCAAAGATGTTTCCAGGCTCTGCAACAAACATGGCTTTCTTGAGGTTTGCCAAGGAAGGGCTCGGGGCAGACAGGCCTGGGCACAGGCCTCGAGCGCCACCTCTCATCAGCTGTGTATTCCGGCAAGTTGTCTTGACTTCTCTGAGCTTGCCTTCCCGAGCGTGTTAAACAAGGCTACCATTTGCTACCCACAGGGCTGTCGTGAGGAGCAAAGGAGAAAACACACCAGGTGCCCAGACCAGAGCCGGGCATGTACTGTCAACAATGTGACAGCTTCTTACTCTTTTTCTAATATCCCTTTGTTTTCACCATTGTATTGATCAGCAGATGCCCCTCTTGCCTCCCTGACCTGCTGGCAGCTCTGGATAAACGTTTACTCCAAAGACCTTCCTACTGAGCTAAGGACTAAGAGAGCTGTTGGTCAGAGGCAGGCCGACTACACGTGAGAAAACCTGAGGGGTCCTATTCTCCATGAGAACGGGACAGCCTTCCCATCTGAGACCATGGGCAAATACAAAGCCTGCTAAGTTTGGGGCGCCTGGGTGGCTCAGCCAGGTGGGTGTCTGACTCTTGCTTTCGGCTCAGGTCGTGATCTCAGGGTTGGGAGATCGAGCCCCGTGCCGGGTTCTGCGCTCAGTGGAGTGCCTGCTTGAGATTCTCTCCCCCCCCCGCCCCTCCCCCCACTTGCGTACCTCTGCACGGACACACACTCTCTCAATAAATAAATGAAATCTTAAAAAAAAAAAAAAAAAAAAGACTAAGTAATGAGAACCAGCCTCTGTTTTTCTAGCCCAAAGACTTGCTGCATTAAAAAAAAAAATACACTTTGCCACATCAGGAAAGCATTTAATGACAGAGAGTACTGGAAAGCGGGGTTCTAGGGGAAGTATCTCCTCGTTAATTCCTGCAGGTGGAGTTCAGAGAAAGAATGAGAAGGAAAAGGTGAGAGGAATGGAGGCTGGTGGTACTGCTGTGGGCCGTGGACAAAGTCCTCCCCACTCCTGGGTGGTTTGAAACTCCTCGACATCATCGCCTTTCCCATTTCCCCCCCCCCGACAAGCAAACTTCGCCTCACAGAAGGCTCAAAAGAACCTTTCAATTTGGAATTGATGTTATGGAAAAAGGGGATCACTGTCTTCAGAACCCCAGTTTTAATGAATTCCGTGCACAAACATCATTCTCCTAGGGAACGGGTGCCCTCCCCCCGCCCCCAGCACCTACATCAGCAACTCACAAGTATGGAACCAGAGTAAGCTCGGTGGCCGCTCCCCAGGGCCGCCTCCACACAGAGGTCCCAGCTCTCTCAGCTGCCAGGCCACCAAGGGTGAGCAGGGCAAGGGTCACTGCCCCTGGTTCCCAAAACTCTAGGCAGCAGTGGCCCCGACTACTTTGAAGCACAAGGAGCTTTTGGAAACCCTTCCCTCCAAGCTGACCGTTCCACCCCACCATTCTCCTCACTTGGTACAGAGACTTTACAAGAATGGGGTACGGTGCTCCCTTCTGCCCCATGACCAGCAGCCAGCTCTGTGATCACCCTGGACTGGGCACACGGCATGGGAAAGAGTTGTCCAATAAGCCAGGACCCATCTGGCTTGGGAGGCAGGTGTGAAGCTGACACTGGGCACCCTCAAATCCTCGCCGAGGGGCCTCTCCCTTCCAGAGCACGGCTGATGTGTCTGTTCTTATTGTTAGAACCCGTCTTCCTCATTCCCCCAGAACTGTGCTGCCTCAGAGAACTTTACTCTAGGACAGAAATGTTCTATATCGGCATTGTCCAAAATGGCAGCCACCAGCTTCAGAAGGCCACTGAGTATTTGAGATGTGACTAGTGCAACCAAGGAGCTGTATTAATTTTACTTCATCTGAATTAATGCCGACAATTCTGGAACAGAGGTTCCAAGAGGACCAGTCTTTCCTGTCTTTTTCTCCACGGTTTGCTCAGCACCTAGAACAGAGCCTGGCATTCAACCACACGCTCATTTAAGAAAGCTGTTAAAGGGCGCCTGGGTGGCTCAGTTGGTTAAGTGACTGCCTTCGGCTCAGGTCATGATCCTGGAGTCCTGGGATCGAGTCCCGCATCGGGCTCCCTGCT